CGGGTGTTTTGGTTTGGATTTTTTTTTCCGCGAAAGAAGTTTGCTTTGGCCACGCCTCAAGGCGGCCGCCTCCTCCTGCCCCCTCCTCCGCCCCTCCGCGCACACCTCTCGGTGCAGATTGCAAAGAGCCTTCCGCCGCGAGAGCTGCGGCTTTTGCAAGAGCCAGGCTCGCCCACCTTGTAGAAGGAGCGCCCTGTGTCCCCTCGTACGCTCGGTGGCAAAGAGCCGCCCGCCCGATCTGGACACCCCCTCGCCCAGACTGCATGATCTCCCGGGACCCTCTGGAGTTGCACGTTTCTGCACTGAGGATCGCAGATCCCCGTCGCTCCTAGGATTTGCGGCGTTCTGGATACTGGCGGCTTGCAAGCTCCGCTCGCCCGCCCCTGGGCAGACGCTCGCCCAAGCCACTGGAGTGTGCCGGTGACTGGCAGGCCAGCCCTTCGCCTCTCCATGAGCCCGTGAGCCTGGGGGCAGGTGCCCGGCGATGGCGCGGCCTGTGAGCGACAGGACCCCGGCCCCCCTGCTGCTGGGCGGCCCGGCCGGGGCCCCCCCTGGCGGGGGAGCGCTGCTTGGGCTGCGGAGCCTTCTGCAGGGGACCGGCAAGCCCAAAGAGCCAGCCAGCTGTGAGTTCTAGCCCCCGCCTCACCCAATTCAGACACCCCACTGCCTTAGGGACGCAAGTGCCGGGGGTTCCACAGACCCCCTCCTGTCTGCTGGAAGTCCCTCTTCCCAACCTTTACCCAATTACCCAGGTCTTTAGGCCTCTAGAGCCTTCGTGCTCAGGGCCAAAAGTGCCGACTTCAAGCCCTTCCACCCTGAGAACCCAGGAATCCAGGTCCTCAGCGTCCTCCTCCCGAGTACACAGGAGTCTGGGTCCCAGCCCCCTCTTTCCTTTGGTCGAGAGTCCGGACCCCTGGGGTCGAGGGAGAAGGGAGGGGGTGTGTCGGATGCTCACACGGTGGTGACACGGGCTTGGGCGGGGCCTCGTGGGGTCACATGGAGTCTAGAAATGAGGAATGTGCCCCAGGAATAGAGCCCCTTTCTGCCCCTTACAGATTGTGGGGGCGGGGAGGAGGGGGTACAGTGCGCAGGGGGTGGGGTACAGAGGAGTTACAGAGCTGTCATTTTTTTCTCTCGCCTGCCCAACCCTCCACCTACCTTATCCCTGTCCCCCTCTTTCCGAACTTGCGTCCCTCTTTTTCTGGGTCTCTGTGCCCCCCTCTGCGTCCCCGTCCTCCTGTCTCTGCCGCCCCCGTCTCCGTTCTTTCCCTCCGGGTCTCTCCCCTCCCC